ACGTACGCACCAAAGAAATTAAAAAATGTATTCAGAGCCATATGTGACATTTCAATTGGAACAATTTTCACATAATCTTATCACGTACGTTCAAATATTATAAAGAGTAAATCTATTGTTTGTGTTAGATAAATCAAGAACCGTTTGATAGGTTATAACAAAAATCTTTACGTTATTTGCAGGTTTTACCGGAACAGATTTTAATAATCGAGCAACAAATTCGCATGCATGTTCAGTTGGCGACATCAAACTTTCTGCAGCTATTCACACATCCCACTTACTGGTCGTATGCTCCTAAATACAAAGAATACTTGGTAAGTTTGTAATGCGATATATTCATCTGGCCCGTTGGGCAAAAATCTCGAAATATATCAAGATGTTTTCTGTTGTGTGATATTTTTAGGGAAAAAAGGCCTAACTATACTTAAGTAAGAGAATTGTCCTGACAAGTTGTTTACTAATTTTAATATAATTTACCAAATTTCTAAATCAATTGATCACCTAAGAAATTAATATTAACTAGCTGTTACACATTACACAGTCCGCACGGAAAACATTTAGGACCTGTCCCACCACTGGCTGATAGAATCTCAGATAGCTTAAAAATGACGTCATTGTCAGATAAGGTAACAAAATTCGATATTACCATCATATATTTTACATGTTGAATTTTTATCAGACAATTTATAATTTGGTAAGACAGGTCCTAAGCAGCCTATTTATATTTAGTTCTTCCAGACTATGTTCTACTTTTATGCTGAATTTCAGCAAGATCCATTAAGACGGTCATCTAAACTTTCGCATGTATGATAATAGTAACGATTATTTAGTTTATAACCAAAGGTGGAGCTTATTATAATTTTGTAATTTTTTTTTTCTTTTTAAAGTGTATTTTTTTTATTTCTGTATAGGTATGTAATGAATACGGCCGGTTACCCTAATAATTAAGCTACATGTTACTTGAGTGCGAAGGAGCCAGCTGAAAATGAGCACAGGAACTGCTTAGTCCCTCCTGCATACGCTCTGGCTACCTTTTGCCACGATTGTGTTTTCTTTAGAATAAGTCCTTTTATGTAATTTCTATTTTGTGGCAATAAAGACATATTTATTCATTCATTCATTCAATATATTTTATTACATGTCAATACAAGGACACAAGACGGCACTAAATTTGACAACTTATAGTACCTTTCATAGAAAGTATCGGTGAATTGTTTTTGTTCAGTTTGCCTTGTTATTTCATTAGTAACATTGTTATTTCATATAATTTTGAACAGGAAACATTAAACAATGTGGCCACTGCCAACCCCAAGTCAGTAGTGAATGTGTGCAACTTGAAGCCGGCCGTGGAGCTCGTCTGCAGCTGGGAGAACACCGTCTCCGAAGTCACCCCGGAGAACACTGCCATGGTCGAGTGAGTAATCTCTAATAAGAAATTACCGTTTTGTAAACAAATTTCACTTTTATAGAAGACTAACTTTCGCCCGCGACTCCGTCCGCGTGGAATTAAATGAAAACAAAAGTAAGTAGCCTATGTGTTCCTTCAGTCTGTCCTCTACGTCTGTACCAGATTTTATTAGAATCCGGTGAGCCGTTTAGGCTACAAACCATAACAAACGTTAATCCATCTAAACTTTCGCATTTATAGTATTAGTATGATATTTAATTTCGTAGCATGAAAAGCACTAAATATTTTTTTATTTCAGACATATCAAAAAAGAAGTTCAAAGAAGGTGAGTAAAAATCAATTATCTATTACGATTTTCATGTTTATGAGTGTACTAGCTATCGCCCGCGACTGTTCGCGTGGCATTAAAAAAAAATATGTGTTCTTCCAGAATATCATCTACATATTTGTCAAATTTCATCAAGATCTGTTCATCTGTTTAGGCTAGAAATTCTAAGAAACATCCATCCATTTAAACTTTCGCATTTCCTATTAGAAATTGTCTCTGTTTTATAGAGAAAGAATGGGATAGCATTATTGCAATGAAGGTTACGACGTTTTTGTTTAAGACTAGCTGTCGCCCGTGACTTCTTCCACGCAGTATTAAGATTAAAAAATAGCCTATAATATGCCCGTCTATGTCAGCTACCCTTAGGCGAAAGAGCGATCCAAATTGGCCCAGCCGTTTCCCGATTACATCCCGGATCCCGGAACAAACGCGGCTTGCGGATAGACAGACAAACAGACAATAAAATTTTAAATGCATGCAATCATCATCTTTCCGAAGTCTGTAATTTTTGTTTTGATATTACATACACTCCAATTTTATTTTATGTATAGATAGAGGAGATTTTCTGTTATTTTTATAGTTCTAATCTGTGTAAGTCGGATTCTTACCTGGTTGATAAATCAGTGAAATAATGAAGTGTCTATATGTAGTATTTGTATTCCAGTCGTAACCGCAGCGCGGCGTGTTCGCTGCACGTGGGCGACTTCCACGACACGCTGAAGGACGTGGTGGCCAACAGCTGCGTCTTCCTCTACCCGCACCTGCTGCCGCCCATGATGTACCGCCCCGACTCCCTCAAGAGGTCCAAGTTCCTGCCGCCGGAAGATAGGTACTTTATCTATATTATTATGATAAAACGTAAACACACACTTCTTTGTTGTGTAAGATGTCAGTAATTACAGCATATTTTTGAATAATTCTATTTTGGATAAAAACCCTAATGTGGGAAAGAGACCATAAGTTGCTGCCAACATCAAGGAAGCAAGGTTGCCATGCTTTGTCATCATATCATGTCATTTTGACACTTGAAATTAATAATTTGACAAATGTAAACAATATAATAAAGTTTTTATAATTTCATGCGGATGAAGCGGCATGGGAACAGCTAGTTTCTTATACAGGGTGGTTTTACCGAATAAACAACCCTGTCTATTGTTATGACAATCGGGCAATATTAGAACATAGGCATAGATGTCCCGTCCCTATCTGACATCTATCTTTGTCATTCAGACTTACTGGAGTAACGCGTCTTACTGGCGAAATCCGTAGCTCTGAGTGTTTAAATTAATTTACCTTGATACAATTTATAAATAATAAATCTATGGACTTTTTTGTACTTCTTACGGAATTAAGTATTACTTTGTGGGAGTGGTGTCATCTATCGTGCTCTTCCTTCTCGCTCTCTGTGCTTTAGCGCCTTATTCATCTGTCAGATTGTAACCATCGCTTACTACTAAGTATTTAAGCTACTTTCCA